CGAGGAGGAGCGGAGGTAGGGCCCCATTATTTAACCCAGGCCATCAGTCACACTCAACAAGCCTATCATATAGGAGCATTCAGACACTGTACAGGCTAAAGTTAGCGCTATTATCTGCCTGTCAGTGGCTAGCTGTGTTGGGGTCCCTTGTGGAAAAGCAATTGTATGAGTGAATGCCTTGCTGCTCACGTTGTCAGGCTCCAAGGATGCACGCAGTGCCTTTAAAAGACCACTCTCCATTTACCTTTGGTTTTTCACACCTTTCAGCTCGCATTAGCAAAGCGCAATTATGACATTTCAGCTGAGTTTAGCGTTATAAAATTGACCGCTCAATTTTAAGCCATCAGCAAGGTTTGGAAGCTCAACCGAGTGGAAAAAATAATCTTTAACCGTAGACGGAAAGCATCATCTCGGTTTTAATCATCTCAGCTCATCTCCTAAGATTTCCGAGTGAGTGCTCATCAATCATACTGTATGCAGACAGTGGGCTTGATTAATATTCATTTTATATGAGACACTTCATTTGCATGAACACACTGTCTGTCTCATAAAAATTACCAAGCCCTCCCTGCCGGTGTGATAAGCATCTGGACACGAAGCAGTTGAAAATCGGAGACATGCTACTTAACCTGATCCTACTTCATTACATAGCGTTACGTGGGAGGGCTTCAAGCATGCGTGACTAGTTATATCGCACTTTGTATGTCCCCATCAGATAACAGCGAGGATCAACTTTCGCATTGTTACGGCGACGCTGAATAGAAGGTCTCCGGATTAATAGAAATCATTTTCGGTTTCCTCAGGTCGTGAAGTGACGGAGAAGTGCCCACCGGGGCAGTGATGCGAATCAGCCCGATGCCTATCTCACCGTCTGTATTGGTGAAACGAGAGCGCTGTGTGTGATGAAATCCAACATTTATAAGGTTTAAAATGAAAATCTACAGTCAACGCCGGCCACAAGTCAAAGTGAGGAGTCACTAAAAAGATGTTATTTGCCCGGGGAACATTTTTCATAACATGGTCCAGATGATTTGAATTGTTCGTGTTTGCTTAAGTTTGTCGTTATATTAAAGATCTTTGAGTTCTGGACTGGACAGCTTGGCCTTTAAGAGATTATAATGGAGAGCTCTTTTTATTTTGTGGCATTTTAAAAGGCAAGAAATCATATTTTACATCAAAACTAAGCCTGAGCAGTAATGAAAACAATGATTACACATAGCAATACATATCAGGCACTGTAGTAGGAGGACTTCTCTTTCTTTATCTCTGAGAATAGACATGTGGGTCATTTAATTATGTGTTTATAGTTTTAAGTTCTGCTTCCATGTAGGTACAGTTCAAGGATTTTTTTTATTTTGACTCATTGTTCACATCAGATTTTTATTCCGCTGGTTTAGGAAAAAACTTATATTTACATCAGGTTATAATAAATTTGATTTTTTTAAATGATATTTCCATAAAATAAATAAAATAACATTACTATTTACATTTTTAGTAACTTCTTATCCTTGTGCTCCACCTTTAGCAACAATGCCCGACAAGCATTAGCATTCCTGCGTTGTATTCGAAATTAAAATGCAAACACTCAATGAGTGAAATGTACCGTATACGTCTGATTTCTTATTCTGAAATATATTTCAGAGTGGATTTGTCTTCTTGACCCAAAGCAGAGTGAAGTGGTGCAGCAAACACAGTGCGGGGACAATGACTCAGATGTAAACTAGTAGTTGTGTATTTAAATATGTAAAGTACATGGAAAAAGCATGTAAAACAACTGGCATACTGTATTTGACTTCTGGTTATCTCTAATGCGCCGAAGCATTGGAGTAAAAACAGAGGAAGAAGGAGAGCTTCTGTAAAATATATGAAACGGCCTCCAACAATTTTGCAGGAGAGGAATTACACCGTAATGGTGACGAGTACGGAAGCAAATCCCGAGGTATCGGTGTGTTACGATTTCCTTTTAGCATGCGTGTGTGGAATTTATTCAGGTTTTCCTATCCGGCTTTCCAAGATGATTTTTTTTTTTCATATCAGGTGTCATTGACAAAGCAGTCAACACAGCATGACTAATTGCAGCATAACACATTTGAGTCTCACCCGGTTGGAGGAGCACGGGAGCATTATCAATGTCAAGATTGCGTGTGGTGTTTAGTAGTAAATCAGTAAAGCCAAACATTTTAACACTGCAATGTCACACCAAAGGAGATGAGTGTTCAGCACGTTTAAAACAACGCTTCCACACATGATTAATAAACGTACACTTTTTAAATTTATTTATTTATTTGGCGTTTTGATCCCATCACCAGCTGTGGATCTGACTTACATTGTCTTAACAGATTTATGTCCGTCATTGCTTCCTACTTTTTTTCTTTGCCATTCTTTTTTAATGCAGTCACGCAACGCCCACCCCCTCGCCCCAACCACCACATTCCTTACTTTTCCTATCACCCGGCTTTGTCAGGTAAACTCTTCAGTTAATTAAAACTGTCAGGTTTCATCTTGGCTCCGTTGGCACGCACCACAATTACAGAAAAAACCAAAACGACACCGACAAGGAAAAAAGTTGCGAGGGCCGTAATGAAGAAGTCTCCTTGATGTGGCTGAGAACAGACGCTACAGTTGTTGCTAGGTCTGCTAAATGTTGGCCAGCTTATCTAAGGGAGTTATCCTAAATCCCCCTCAGAACAAGTACCCTTGAAACGTCAGCACCATAATGTATCATAAGGCTCCTTCTGGAATACAAGACGAGCTGGCAATGCTGGACTAGCGCTCGGCCTTTTTTCTCCCCGCTTTCTCTAACGTTGAACAGGGTCCAAGCCTTTCTCATAAATATGTATTTTATGATGTGTTCTTTTGGCGCGCGATGCCAGTTTCAGTACCTAAGCCCACACTTTTTTTTTCTTCTTCTACTCTTTTTTTTTTGGGTAGAGAAAATTAACAACTGTGATAGTGTTCTTCATTTTATGTGATAATTTCTTAAGTAACACCTGTGCAAGTAGTTGCTGGTTAATAGGCTGTGCTGTGAGATGTGCCGTGTACGCTCTCACTAGCACACACAAATTCTAATTGTCTCCATCCCACTGAAAAAAAGCTCTCCTGAGATATAGGGGGGAAACAAGCACATGCCAGCAACCCTAGCTTTGAACTTTGTCATATATATATATATATATAATTTCATTTTAATATTTTTAGTCTGCATCTTCCCAAACCTTATCCTTTGCAATAAAACTCCAATTTGCCGCTTGGACAGAGTGATTATTCCTGGAATAATGTATTTTTTATTTTGTCAAGGCAGTCTCAGCATCCGATTTGATATCGTATTTAATTTAGCTCTCTGGCAGCTGTCAAAGTGTTTTAATAAAAGCGCTGTTTACTCATAAGGACGTGGCTTTGATCAAGCACGCTCTTTCACACTGCTATTTTAACTTCTTTAGAGTCCCACAGTCATTTCTGCATGCACGGGACGGAGCGAACAGTACACCAGAGGGTGGTTCGGTAGATGGTCTCCAAACTCCGGTTGAGTTCACTCATGGAGGCCTGCCAAGACTTTGCTAATGAGCACTTTTAACCTCTAATATTGCCCAAATGGCCTTCCTATGCAGAGACCAATGATAGGCTTCTGTAAAGTCCATTAATATCTGTTCAAAAAAATCTGATTAGCCTAATCGTGGCTTTTTGAATTAGGATTAAGGGCTAGATTCTGAGATGGGTTGAGTCGCCACTGCTTGCACAGCGTGGGAGCTGATATGGAAAATCTGATAAACGTGTTTTACTCGTGTAACTTGAGATTCTTATGTCAGTCAACTTCCCAAGTGCCGTGTCCTTTGACGCAGCGCTTGACCTTTCGCAACCAGATTTTCGTCCCTCCCGCAAAGGAATTAGCTCCCCCATAATATTGAATGTAGTACTGACAGCCTAATGTGCAGCAGTGGCGATTGTGTAATGGATGCCAGGATTATGTGCACTCTTTGACTTGTGTCGTTTTACAGAGATTACATTTCTGCAGCAGATCATGGCTGATGGTGGATAATAGAAGGGTTTTGTAGATGAGGGGGGATAATCATTAAAGCTGATTTAACTTTAATATCATGGTATTTGTTTTATGGGGATCATATTATGAATCGCATCAGATTATATTGTTGAGCCTTCTTTAACCGTGCACCCTATTATTCATTCACATCTCACTGTTATGTTACATATCTTCATTTTGAATAGTGGCACAGTTTTCAGGAATCGCCATGCAAAACATATTTGATGTTTGCAGCTCATTTTATGCTAAGTAGCACTAGCTTAGCAATGACTTCCTCCGTCAGGAGTTCACTCAGGGGGCCCTCTCACGGTGTTAGAGGAGGTTGAGGGCAGCTCTGCTTTGTGAACTGTTTTGCCGACTAGAATTTTGGAAAGAAGCCCAGCAGCAGCACAGCAGAAAAATGTCCATAGGTGCAAAATCTCAAACTGCTAAGTTATGGTTCTTACCCGCAGGAAAGTGAAAACACTAGTGCGTTTCTTATGTCAATTGCCATCAATCCTTGAGAGAATACATGAGGTCTGGAGCACATATGCATAACCAATTCTCCAAATACAGCAGCGTGTGCTTCATCGCTCAGTGTTCGCCTCTCTGTGGGAGTGATTTGTTGGTAAGGTGTAAGGAGTTAACACTTCGGCGAGCAAACAACAACAGAATATCCAAAAATACCTTTTGTGGTTTGCGCTCTCTTAGCGTCTGGTTGATCACGCCTGGTATGAGTTCATATGACTGCAGACTGAGCAACTTGCACTGTGTCACTCGATGGCGACTTGAAACCCACAGTGCCATAAGGGCTGTGCATAAGGATTTATAAAGCCACGGGCATCCATCTGCCGCGCTTCTTACTGGAAAAGACAACAGTCCGATTGTTCACCAAGAAGTTTTTTGAGATCCCAAACCTCATTTACTTCCTGTCTTCTGTTCAGCTCATAGGCATGTTGTTTTTTTGTTGTTGTTTTGTTTCTGACAGACTTTGGAAGGCATCTGGAATCCGAGCATCAAGGCTTGCTGCGGTCCTGTGGGAAGTGTGGCGCAGTGGAGGGATCGGTGCCATAAAGGAAGCACCCAGCTGGGGCATTTGCCAGCAAAACACTGAGTACTGAACTTATCTGGGACCTTCAGCAGCGGGCGGTAAGAGGAGGAGGAGGAGGAGGCCATGTTGACCGCACGCCTGCTAGTCCTCGCCAGCCTCTTCGCACCAGCCGCACTGGGTGAGTTTGGCTCATTAAAGCAAGTGTTTGTGTCTGTGTGGATGTGCAGATGCAGGCACAAAACATGCCTCTTGCGTTTCCTGATTGGCATGATTTGAAGCTGTATCAGAATTTCATGTGTTCACTACTTAAGTGCCAGATTCTGTCAGCCAACTGCAGTAAAAGCCTCTGACTTTATGTCTGTCTTGTTTTCGCCGTCTATGCAGCTTCTCTCACTAATTAGCAGTTATTTTTACTCCCAAAACTCGCAGAAACTTTTTTTCCCTACACTTTTCTTCTTTTGATTTTTCTGTCTGTTTTTTTTTTTTTTTTTCCTGTGATTTTTCGATCTATTTTTAGATCTGTCCCTCTTACTCTTGGCTCCATCTCTTGCTCTCCTGGCAATAGAAAAATGAACTGAAATTACTTTCAAAGAATCACTAACGCCGCGCTGGCTTTGTGGCGTACGTTTAGGATTGTTGAAAGTTGCAAGAATTAGGGAGGGAAAAGAAGAAAAAAAGGAGATCTTTTATCACTTCATGAATTAAGATCTTAAGATTAATTTGCAAGGTCTTTCTTTTACCACGTCTCTGTAAACGGAAATCGCAGCGTTTCCCCTTGGCCTTCTGTGGATTGTTTCAGAGGCAAAGTAAATGAAGTCATTTAAATTCAGATTAAAAGTAGTCAGTGGTGGTGGTCTGGTAGCTCGGGGTGTGGATGCGGCTTGGGTTTAGATGTAGGGAGTGACGGGGAGTGGGGCAATGGCCCATAAAAATGTTAATTTAATATGGCGAGAACCATTAATGGGAGATTTGAGGCTAATTGAATTGTTTTTGTGCTGTGATATCTGTGGATGGGATGGGATTGTGTGTGTGGGGGGAGGGCAGGTAAAAAGCACACTTCTTCGGTTTTCCTTAATGCTCAGAAGAAGGTCAGGAGGCCAACAATACGTTGCAGGCTACATCCGTCTTTAGAGAGATCCATTGAGTAAAGGTTTAGGCATTACCAGGTAGTCGAACTGAAAATGAAAATTCATTTTTGCAAAAGAAAGGACTATTTATAAAGCTGTCTCGACTCCCTCCTTTGAGGAATGCAGGATGAACTCGGTGCTGTGTGGGTAAGAGCTGTTGATGATTGCCACTATTGAAAGTCTGGTGGGAAGGAGTGCTAATGATGGCGAGCTAGGCTTCCTTTTCCCAGTGGAGCACTGTTAGCCTAGCGTTCTAGGTCCTGTTTTCGGGTTGAAATACAAACTTGTCGGCACAATGGGACCTCGCAAATGTGTAGTGGCACTTGGTTTAAATAATTGGTGATAGTAGTTGATAGCTACTGAAACGTGGGCTTGTTAAAAGAGGGAGGCGTGGGACAGGGAGCATTTTTCTCTTGCATTTTTGCAACAATGCGAGTGGCCACTGGGACCGAGGCTGACTGGTAGCACTACGGCTACCTCCTACTGTACTACCCATGGGGGCCACTCACATGATTATAAGCATTAAGTTTTAACACCAACTCCAAAAAAGAGGGTTCGTTGTCATTTAGGTTAATTTGAGAATTCAAAAAAAAAAAAAATCAAAAGTGCTTTAACTCCACAGCTGATCACAGATGAGTAACGATCAAAACACGCACTGATAGAAATAACGGATTCGTGAGTTTCCCCTGAATGCGGGCAGGTAGCTAACACATCCAGACATGAGTATGGGACAAGTGGACATATGCTGTGCTTCTGAATGTAAAACCTTATGAATTTTAAAGTTTACCCTAAGCCTTTATGTCCGTTACTTAAAAAATATAACCTTCTGAAAATTGGACAAAGTGAGTAAGAGTGCATTTGGATAATAAAAACCAGGGTGCCTTGCTCAATTAGAACTGAAGGCAAGCGAGCAGCTTTTTATAACAGTGTTTTAAAAAGGTGGGTTGCTCCAAAGATTAAGAGCCGCCATTGAAAATGCTCTATCGCCTCGGCTTTTATGTCTGAATCTAGCAGTTTTCAAGAACAGCCTCAAATATTTATTAGCGAGGGCTGTTTGACAGCATAAAAAAATGATATACATAGACAAGAGGAGCCATTTCCTCCTTATAACACAACTTATTCTCTATTGTATCAAAGTAGATTTTGTTAAAATAAATGACAGTAGTAAAATAAAACCCAGTAAACTGATGTGCGATCAAGCCTCAGCATAAATGTCAAAGCACACACACTAATGCTTAACTAATACTGTTACGAGCAGCACAAAGGCACTCATATATCCATATACAAGCAGCCATATTTAGAGCAGACACTCTGTGTGGTCACTGTTGTTAGTCCCTTTGACCTTTCATTTGATTAGCATTGACTGTAAAGTGCTGCTTAAAATAGATATGTCAGTCAAGCTGCGCAGAAGCACCTCTTGGGCTATCTGTGTTAAATTCTGCCTGCATCAAAATCGGCTGCTTTTCACCTGCAATTAATTCTCTTAAAGCTGCAGCTTTACTGGAGGAATCTCCCGTCTTTGGAATGAGAGCGTTCGCACGTGTCGTCATCAGAAAGATGCATAACGATCGTCTGCCGGTTGGACAAACAACTGTAGGATTACACAGACGCAGCCCATTAGAAAGCGCCCCCGGGGGTGGAGGTGAAGTGGTTGAAATAAGGCAGACATCCGAGAAATGTGGCTGAAACGTGTCAGCTGTAGACGCCCTGTGACGTTCAGTTTATGGAAAGGAAGTAAGGTCTGTCTTTTGCGTGTTTTAGCGCCGCCATAAATCCAGTATACTTCACATTTATTGAAGTGTTTTTCCCCCCCAAGCATAACACGACTGCATTTTCCTTTCTTTTTCTTTTTTCCTCTCGGCTGCATTTATTTTACGTCAGTATGGTGTGAATAAGATGGGAGAAAAGCGAATTCATCAGTCTTAAAATCTGTTTGCGATCATTTGAAAAAAAACGGTCAGCTGCGGGGCTCGCGTGATTTCTCGTAAACGGGCCGAACCATGCGAAAACACCTTCACAGTCCTTTAAATCAATCATCCTGCTCTCTCTGTGATCAACCTCTCCTTCATCGGCGAGTAATAGGTGACATCGAACTCGTAAACCACCGACTCCGTAAGGTAAAAAACCAGCCGCACTGGTGCATTTTGTAGCAGATTTAGTGGCTGACACCCAGTAAATAATTTGACATGTTCATCAAGAGCAATCATTTAATACTCAGCCTCGTCCTGATGCTATGAGCAGACGTGGCCAGATGTTGCCAGTGAACTGTTTTGCAGCTGGGGGAAGCTTGAGAGGGAATATTCACCACAATGTCATTGTGCATGTTTCACCCTGAGAGTGTTGGAAATGTGTACTCTAGGGGATGCTGGCCTACTTTGGCATCTATATTCCCTTTTGTCTGAAAGTCAGGCACACGCAACCTCGTGCGCGCACACGCTGACTAGCGTCAAGCAAAAGAAACTAGCACCATTCCCACTGACACACATGCAAAGTCACACTTTTAATAATCACAGTACACATGCACGCTGATGCATTCGCCACTTTAGCCTAAGAGGCTGGAATAGAAGCCCAACAGTGGCCTTCCTTGTCTTTTTTTTCCTCCGTTTTTTGCTGTTGAGCAGAATGAGGAATATTTCTGGACAACCGTCACAGCAGCGAGATTAAAAAAGAAAAGAAAGTCAAGGAGAGAACGCAGCTTAAGGAGCGTTAAGGATGCGTGGCTGTTTGTACGTGGGTGGCTCTTTGTTTGCTTGTATGCGAGTGTGTGTGCTTCCCTATCATCTTCTGGTTTGTGCGCGAGTGGAGCTACAAAGTCCGTGCCAGATTAATAAAAAGTTCCATCCCTGATGCTGTCACGGGGGCTTGAAAAATAGGCAGAACGCAACCTTGGCGTTGTTTCGGTAAGATCAACTAACAAAAGGAAAAAGCAATGTCCCGAACACTCGAGCCATGCCAGAGCGGCGCATTAATCATGCGTTTCTCTGCATGTAAAATCCTCCTGGATGACTTTTAGATTCATTCCGCTTAATACTGCCCCGTGCAATCGCAGACATCGGCGTGTTATAATGGATGACGGCTCAAGAAACAGATTTAGGAGACGAAGAACATGAAGTCTGACTCTTGGTTGTACGGTCAGATACAAGCGCAGGCATCAAGCGTGGAACCAGATATCATCCTGCTGGGTGAGGAGGGGTTGGTAGGTAATGAGGAATGGATGAGGCAGCAAGACAGATGTGTGCCTGCCACATCTGTTCAGCGTTTGTTAGGTGTTGCACTGGTAGGGTAGGTTTTTGTATCTTGCAGAACAATGTTGGGTAATTGGCAGTTCTGCAGATGAACATACATAACGTCCGTCTCGCATGCCTGCATTCTCTTGCAGGCCTTAAACAAAGCCTTACGAACAACCCTCTCTTTCTCACATTCCCGTATCATCATTAATATGCTAAGGTTAGCTGTGTCTAACCAAACAAGAGCATTAAACTCTGACGTCAGGCTCGCTGTTCCCGTACCCGATCCACTTAATTAATCTTCTCCTGCCAGGGCACTGACTCCATCCGCCAAGGCATCCCTGGATTTGCCTAATTTGCTTAATTAATTAAACAAATGATTTATTTGAGCTCATATTTCAAAGCGGCAGAAAGTTCTTTGTAGAGCCTACTGAGGCATGTGCTGTTGTGTTGTGACTGCGAGATGCCTCTTCAAGCATTGCAAATAAGTGGGCTTCGGAGTGGGTGGATGTCAATCATTCATTTGCACCAGCATAATGTACATGCATATACAGCACTTTGGGGCAGGGATAAATTATATATGCATTAGAAGGCGACGTTAGATGAAGAAAAAAACCAAACAACAGGACTTTATTTAGACAGGCATTGTGTTGCTTTGGTAAGAGTAAATCGAGAGTTCGACGACTGTAGCTTTTGTACAGCAGTCTTCACTGAATGGTTTTTGTGGTATGAGGCAGGTATCGGCCTCACATGTAATAAGCAATCACAAAACAAACATGTCTATTCATTATTTAAACTTTCAGGTCAAGCCAGTATTCAGTCCT